GCGTGTCACTGCCCATGGAAAGCAGAAAAAGTCATTCCACCTGGAAGGTTATTTCTAACTATTATTCCTTCTCCTATGTCTTGCATTAGACTATCTCTTATAAACCAACAATATCTATTTCTGTAGCATGAACAGGACATTAAATCATAACTCCTTTTCTTCTATAGTTAATTCTTCTAGAAATAATTTTTAAATCTTTTTTGAAACACAAAGACTATTCCAATGCATATTTTGAATATGAATTGCATTACTTGCTATCATAATTAGTACATTTCCCAAGCTGAAACAAACTGTTTTTCTAGATCTATTTCTCTCTAGTCTTGCAAGAGCAACAAATAGTATTTCAAGGAGGAGGCAAAAGAAGAGAAATTGAAATATGCAGATTTTTTTAAAGGAATGTATGGAAAAATAAAAATAGTTTACAATGAATTAATTCAGGCAATTGAAAATGAGGCAAATTGATATTTATAAATTTATCCCTTTCTTTCACAATATCCATAACATTCCATTATATCTCGAGAATATATCTCACTTTAGGAAACTTTTGTTTTATTTACTAAAGTTTTTATCTGCAATTATGCCAGATAAAACTTCTGAATTTTTCTCCCATTCCCCGCAACAATGTACATAGATAAAATGGTGAATAATTACAAAAGGTTTACAAAATATTTAAAAGGTATGACTCTATTGACTTAAATTCTATATAGAATGGAAATGCTTTTTAAAAAATAAAGCCAATATTTTAAAATAATTTTGCAAGTTAATTGGATTTTTTATTTTTAATTCCACCTTTCCTTTAAGAGTTTAAGGGTTAGGTCTACATGGGACCTCCTAGTCCATTCCACTCTTTCCAAACTGTAAATCTATCATAGGTTAGATTGATAGACAGCATAATGGCTCTAATTCACACAGTAAGTTGGTTGATGATCAACTTGAACTAGATCTCCTAAATCCTAGTCAATGCCTAAATTGTTATACCAGTCTATATATTACATTCATGCCTTCTGATTATCCCCAGGAGTGAATCTAAATTTGGCCACAATTATTGCTACCTCTTCACAGCATCACGTTTAAATGCTTTTGATTCTTGATTTCCACATATCTCAGACAAAGATACTGAAATTTTGCTTTCAAACTTAAAAAAACCCAAACATATCTACAAGCACTATCTAGGTACTAAAGAAGTGTGCTGTGGCATTTGGTGGAAATGTGGCAAAGCTAAGGCTTATTGGAAAAAGATACATACGTGGTTAGAAAAAATATTAGGTGAACATGTGGATTTTAAACCTGAACTTTTTTTACTAGGTATAATGCCTGAAAAGATTAATAATCAGAGTTTATATTTAATTTTACACATCACTACAGCAGCGAGAATAATTTTCGCACAATACTGGAAGAATGAAGGATTGCCATCAGAAGAAGAAATAATCAGAAAAATATTGGAATGTGCAGAGATGGACAGATTAACTATGAGACTGAAAGATAAAGAAGACACAGACTACTACCAAATTTGGGATTTATTTTATTGTTGGTTAGAGGAAAGAATGAAGGATTAGGAATCGAATATGTATTAGCATAGCTAACCCCAGACAACACGTTGATTGGAAAAATTAACATATGTATGCAAAAGAAAACCAATAAAATCTTTATAAAAAAAAGTGTGCTCTGGAACAGAATTCACATATTCACTCTTGGAATGAAGGTGTAAAAACAAGGCCTCAAAATACTTTAAAACTAAGGAACAAGAGCAATGAAAATTGTGTTGCTTTAGAGCAGTGGTGTCAAACTGCCGGCCCACGGGCCGGACACATCACCAGGAAACCTTGCCCACCCCATTGCCGGCAATAGGGAAAAAGCTCCGATACGTTGTGCGATGTCACATGATGTTGAAGTTTGACATGTCTGCTTTAGAGAGAGAGAAACTAAGAAATTATCTAGAGCATTGATATTGACAAGTGTTATGGGTACATAGAAGAATATAAAAGCCTACAGTACAGAATCTTATTGTGCACCTTAGATTCTGCTTGGTGTAACAATTCTATCATAAACCGTAAAGTCTGAAGGTACAGAGTAAGTTACTGTAGATTAAGCAGCTCTCTGGTAGCTGATATCAGTAGCACAGATTATTTTACAGAGGTATGTTTTTCCATAGCTGCTTATCTGTCTATCAGCCACCCATCCCATTTTAGTCCACCATCATCCTATTTTGCTAACCTAGGAAAATAACTACTGTTGCTGAAGAAAATAATACAAAGCAGCTGCTCTATGTTAACAATGAGAAATGGGATGCAATTTCACAAATGTTCTTAAGGAGTGCTTCAACCAAAATTTAGATGAGGTAAAGTGTTCCTCAAAGATTTTCCCTGTCCACATAGTCAGCATTGATATAGTATAATAGTTAGGAATGGGGAAAAAATTAAGCAAAAACATAGAAACAAAATAGCATTTAATGTTTGCTGTATAGGAAGGTAGGATCTCGCTAATCTTCATTTAAAACAAATCTTTTTAAGAATATTTTTTAAGGGATCTGCGTTTATTGTAGGCATATCCTGAAACGCAGCAGAACACTTCAGAAAGAATTTGCCAGAAACCAAGGGATTGTCTTCCAAATTGGCCTGAACAAAAACAGCTTTGAAATTTCAAAACTTTGAAGATGGACATACAGATACACAATATATCTGCAAATTTTTATCCACCTCATTTGCACCATTTTTGTACACTTTCCCTGAAAAGCTATGAGAAGAGTAAATCCTTTCTTTTTCTGCTAAGTATCTCTGTCTCATGGGTAGAAACAGTAGGACAATCCTTTTACATGTAAACATAGAGCTCAACTTGATAAAATTATTAACTCTTTGCAGATCTCTGCACATAAAGCTCTATAAGTTCCCATTTGAAATTTACTTCATTGTGTTTTCCATCTGTTAGAAGTAAGTCTTCATCCTGGTTCATCCAAGCCGGGAATAAATAAGCAAACATGGCGACTGCTTTGGGAAGAAGGTTACAGTTTATTGCAGAAGACAGATGGTCCTTGCAAGAAGCAGCAGAGGAGAAGAAAGAGAGGGAGCACATGGGCAGAAGGTCTTTTTATACCCTCTAGCCCTGCTTGGAATAGTTTCCT